GAAGGATGGCAGATGATCGGTTGCCCAAGCAGGTCTTCGATTGGGTTCCTCCCGGAAGGCGACGGCGTGGACGTCCTGTGAAAGGTTGGCGACAAGGGGTGGAGGAGGAGATCAGAAGGTGCCAATTGCCTGATGATCTCTGGGAGGATAGGGGGCAATGGCGATTGGGCGTCGCAGAGCGCGAGGCGGCGCTATAATCGCGACTTTATGTATGTATGTAAATAAACTTTTTACACGCTTTGGAAAATCTCAGAAGTTCGCGGTAGTCACTTTTCGGTAAGGAACTAAGGGACTCGGTTATTGTATCGAGTGGGGGGTCGAAACGATCGCAAAGGCGGTATACTACGTATACGCGCCAAAAACCCACAGCCGAGGATAAGTGAGACGTATTCAGGCCTCATTTTTTAACTTTTCTCTCGAAACTGAAAGTCGCGACATCTCAGCACTGCAAATTCACGCTCCGTGCCATAGCGCCTTCAATTTTGAAGCTGCAACACGGACATCCATCAAGCACGAATAGTTGTATCTCTGCGCCGTCATCAACCCGCATCCTTTCCTTTGCTCTTGTTCCACATAGAGTTTGTTTCCGTTTACCTTATTTGTAGTGGTAATTCATGGGCTACGTGCACAACTCAACCACGTGTAAGAGAGACGTAATTGGATCGCGTTTAGCAGGAAGGAACCAAACCACATCAGCTACTGCAAAAAAACGGGACGATTCCTTTTTTTTATAAGAGAACGTTTGTGCGGATTCCTTTGAAAATTTCAAGGAATTTTCTTCGTACTATGCAACAAATTCACTAAAATGTACACAAAAATCCGCACAAACGTTTTTATGCGATAAAATAAATTACTTGCACAGTTAAATTTTGCAGTAGCTGATGTGACTTGGTTCCTTTCACCTTAACGCGGTCCAATTATCGGGCCTCGTTTTTTAACTTTCCTGACTAATCTGACTACTAACTAATCTGAGAGACGCGACACCTCATTGGTAGCACAGATCAGAGCACTGCAAGTTCACGCTCCGTGCCATAGCGCCTTCAATTTTTCAGATGCAACACGGACATCCATCAAACACGATTAGTTGTATCTCTACGCCGTAAGCATTGCGCATCCTCTCTCTCGATTTCCACGTTGCGTTGGTTCCGTTGTTCACATGTGTAGTGGTGCTTTAAGGACTGCGTAAGCAACACAGCTGAAGATCGAAAATTAGTAATCGGGCCTCGTTTATAAAAGTTCCTCCAGAATGTTTTTTGGAAAATTTTGTAAGTTGCTACCAAAATTTGAAAACTTTATAAGCCCACAAACCTCAAAATATAATTTTTCTGGACGTATTCGACCCACATAACCACGGTGGCCGATCGTTAAAATGAATTAACAAACCGACCATCTACCTTCGGAATACTAGCAAATAATAATGGCGAAGCCTTAATGATCAATAACCGATATATATCCCCATTTGAAGCTATGGTAAACAATCGATTATTAAGGTGTTCGTTGCAAACGCCCTGTTTATCCATCCTTTTCCGTAGCTTTTGATGGTAGATCAATCGATATATCGCGTGATGAATGATTCCTACGCTCACTCGACAAGTTTCGAGGCGCGCAATTGCACCAATAAACATTAATTAAAATGCATATCACCCTCTGATTTTTACTTTTAGAGAAGAAAAACATATTGTTTCCGCGGAGTTCGCGGGGTTGCTGTTAATTAATATTCTCATCACGCGCGGATGTTTCCTGTGCTTGACGGTGATTAAATTACATCCACCGGCTGGAGCGTGAGCAGCCCCGTGGAGTGCTTTGCGATACATCGATTGATTTGCCACTTTAACCTATGGAAAAGGATCGATATACAGAGTGCTCGCAACGAACACCTTAATAATCGATTCTTCACCGTAGCTTCAAATGAGGGGATATCGATAATCGATAATCGATAATTCAGCCACTGAGCGCGAGTCACTTGAATATCGCACTCTGATACTGAAAAATTTCATCGCTGCACATCCCTTGTATCGGCCCCGTTATGACCTGGAGTTTCCAGATCCAAGTACACATAGGTGCGCTATGTAAGTTCACATGGCGTAATAACACGCAAATTGTAATCTTCTCTGCTGAAAATGATGAGTAGGGTATTCAGAATTCGCCGACTCACATGAGTAGAAAATCCTACTTATATGAATAGAAATCCTACTCGTGGAACATTTTGTTCTTATAATTTTTTTGATGCGGTGACTAGTTTCTGAGATATCGGACACGGTAGATTCAACGCTGAACTCATGTGCGTTGAAATCTCTAGTCGTATGAGTCGGCGAAAAGTGAATAGAGAAATTCTGCTCATATGAGTTAAATTCTATACACCTAAGCCGAAATTCTATTCATATGAGTTGAAATTCTATTCATATGAATAGAATTTCAATTCATATGACTTTGATTTTCTACTCATTTGTACTCATCATTTTTAGCAGGGATGGAGCTTTAAATTTCAGGCTTATTTAGCCATTGTTTCAACCTATTCATGCTGAATGGAACTGAATATTTCAAAATACATTCTATCAAAAAGGACCCTAATGTATATGATTTGTGTGCCACATAGTCTCTGTTGACGGCCTCTGGCCTCCCTCCCAATCCATGGTAAAAATGAATAAAAGAATGTTTTATATAAAACAAAAAAAAATAATCTTTTTTCAGGTCTATACGCTTTCATTTTCTTTGTGATTGTTTTAACATCTAATAAAAATCATAATTAAAAACAAATTTCTGAAAAGTGAGTGTTACAGTTTAAGTTAGTTTTTTTACTTAAAAATTCAGTCAAAATGTTCAGTCATTTAGATTTAATTCAGTTCTACCCGTCCAATTCGGTCCTTGAACCCCCAGTTGCCACCTTTTCACTGGGCGTCCCCTTTCGTCTCCTCCCAGGAGGTACCAAATCAAACCTCTTCTTCGGCAGTCTTTCTTCCGCCATCTTGAGTCTTGTTTATGTTTTTATTATGAAATTCTCAATTGCCATGCAATTTATCGTAAGTAAGTTTGAGAAAATTAAAGTTTAATACCTGATTTGAGAAAATCCGTTTGATTCCTCGCAGGTGTAGCTACAAGGTCGAATTGTGACAGCTTCATATCGTCAGCTGTGTCTACTTGTCGGCCTCTTTTCCATCGATACCTAACATCTCTGATCGTATATCCAACTGCACATAAAGAAAAAAGAATACCTTTTATCGAATAACTCACACAGACATCCCTGGTAAAAATTTGCGATAAGAGCTGCGTTTCAAAATACCATAAGAATTCTCATAGCCGGCTAAAGAAGGCTACAGAAAATCATACAGTTGGCTATAGAATGCGGAGAAAATCATCATCAAAAATCATGAGTTGAATAACGCTGACTCCGCCAGAGTAAATATTAGAGCCTAACACAAAGCGGAGCGGTGACGCACTGGCGCCTACAAACCTAACAGGGATACTTCACGCATTGCGCAACGCGTGAAGTATCCCTGTTAGGTTTGTAGGCGCCAATGCGCGTTCCGCGCTGGCTGCCCGCCTGCCGCACCGCAGCGTGCCACGGCGCTTGAAGCAACTATTTCACCACCAGAGGTATTGCACAGTATCATACGAAACTGAGGGCGCTCTAATATATTAGGAATGACAGGCATCCATCAAAAGTACGGAGCTTTCCTTGCAAAATAAAGCAAGATACTACGGCCCAAAAAGAGAGCAGTGGTCCAAAAACTCACTAGGTCCTAGCATCCGTAATTAGTGACGTTTAGCATACACTTTATCGAAAATGATGAAACTTTAGAACTTGATGAAGGAAACAAGTGAGAGACATTATTGAGTAACTGAAAACTATTATCGCACTCAATGCGCAAAGTTTTAAAATGCCCTGTAACTTCGGATTTTTTGGTAAATGCTGCAGTGCACATTCTCGAAGTCGTGAAGTGTACCAAATTTGGCACTTCTACGACAATGAAACTATCAACTCTGTGTCATTAGCTCACAGCGATGTACTTAATAACTTCGATTGAATAGAATACGATTAAAAATTGAGCCAACAAAATTTCGTTGCATTAATTTTTTTTTCAAATTTCCTTGACTACATTAGCGCGCCCTCCACGGCAAGTAAAAAACATAGCCATTAACGAAAATCAATTTACCTAAAGGACAAAAAGCATTGGTAATTTTTTACAAGCTTTCAAAAACTTAAAACCAGCCCGCCAATCACTTTCTCAGGGGTATAGCCAAGGTACTCGATTTGTATCGAGTCGGGGGTCAAAACGATCGTAAAGGCGGTATACTACTTATAGGCGCCAAAAATATCTGAAAAATGTATCTCTATATTCTTACATTTTCGGGTAGAATATGAACACTAAATCTTTAATTATAAGAGGAACTTAAATACAAACGCTTCCTTTTCATATGATTTGACGGACACAGGTTGCATGTACAGAACATATGATTTGGTATAAAGCCATACTAAAATCTCTCCCCTCTCTTAAATCACGGCTGATAAAGATCACCAACTTCATCTCACGAACTTCAGAATTCTAATAAACAAAATGCCAATAGCCGCCTTGCAGCAGTCAACTACTGGAAGAAAATTCTACTTAAACAATCGTAAAACGGTCAACTTCAAGTAATTATTGAGTTTATTACATATTGACGGAGAAACTGCAGAGACGCGTGCTTTGTTTGCGGAGTTTCAAAATCTCCGATCCCACACTGAAAAAAAAAATATTGCTGAAATTGCAGTGCACGCGGGTATTTCATGGCATGTTGTAGCTAAAAAACGAACGTGCAAACCATGCAGGTAAAATCGCTACACAAATTTCAGCTAACTTACACACACACGCGTGTAGGTGATTTTGCTCTCTGAAAAGCTACGTCTGTTACCTTTTTAGTTATTATTCCGTAAATTTCGCTATTTTTCCGTAAATNTACCAGTGTGTTTAACACACATTTGTTTCAATAAATCCCACATAGCTGAGTAAGTTTCTGCCGCTTTTGAGGGGAGGAAGAACGTGGCAACATGCAAATAAAAGCCACGATGGAACACGTGGATTGTATAAGTTTGTTTGAAATGCTTGGGAGCATAAGTGAATGTTCCGTCTCCCAAAATAACATCATCGAAGTCGACGTTGCGTCGCGTTGCGTAGGTGCAGCGTTGCCACATAGTGCAGTGTGCGCAAACGTTATCGGTAAAACTGTGCGCAAATGAAAATTCGGAATTTTGTGCGCAACCGTTATCGGTACGAAAAGTGTGCGCAAGTGTCGTGCAGCCCGTGCTAGTCGTTCACTTGATTCAACACCGTGCACGGATAAGAAAACTTTACAAAGTGAAGCAAATTTTGCTCCGCCCTAAATCGGTGAATTAGCAATCCTTTTTTTTCAGTGCATTTTATTTTACTATTCACAGAATATTCTTCACATAGAGAGGCAAAATCAAGGAAGTTTTTGAGAAACTGCGTTGAGCAGTTTTTCATTTAATTTAGTAGGTAAGGCAGGAAGACCAATGCGTTAAAAATCGAGACATGCACCACTGCAAGCAGTTCCACCGTCAATATTAAATGACGACATAGTTTTGCCTCTGACAGTGACGCATGGTTCCCAGATAGTCCTCAAATTTCAGCACTTCCCCCCTTTAAACCCATGTAAAATATCTTCATTTAATCGCACAATCTGGCAACTTTGCAGTGACGAAGCGTGGATAATCGATGATCGACATTTTCCCATTTGAAACTATGATGAAGAATCGATTATTAAGGTGTTCGTTGCGAACACCCTGTAAATCGATAAATTTCCATGGGTTTAAATGACAGATTAGTCGACATATCGCAAGACACGGTACGCCATTGGCCTTTCTGTGGCGAAGCGTGAATGATCGATTATCGATATTTTCCCATTCACTGGAAAAAAAACACATTGGATCTAGAGTCCAGACTCTTAAAAACATCGACAAGAAAAAGTAATCTTGATTCAATCAGAATCTAGCTTAAATCAAGAACCAAGCCTCTAAATTTAAGCGGATTTCGTTTTGATTCAAGCAAAAATCCGATTGAATCAAGAGTATTTTTTCTTGTCAATGTTTTCAAGAGTCTGGACTCTAGATCCAATGTGTTTTTTTTCCAGTGTTTGAAGCTTTGGTGAAGAATTGATTATTAAGGTGTTCGTTGCGTACACCCTATTTTCCGATCCTTTTCCATAGGTTTAAATGACAGATAAATCGATAAATCGCTAAGCACGCAACGCAACTGTGGCCTATGACATTCTCAGACGTGCAAATTTCACAATATTAAAAAGTGCAACTGACGTAAAACCAGAGGATACCCGCCGTCGTATTTTTCGTGTTCACCGAGCAGATTTTATTTATCAAGGGAGCTGCGGAGATCAACCAGCACAAAATGTGGCAAGAATGCGTTATTTTCTTTTGCCTCTCAGACTCCGAAAAACAAGTTTGCTTATTCCGCGACACAAATTTGCAGCAGAATGCTCAATAAGAGGAAATAGAAGGGGGCGGCTGTATAAGAGCGGTTGTTCACACGCCAAAAAAAAGGAAGACAGAAAAAATGCAGAGCTTTGACACGATAGAGAGCACTTCAATTGTTGAGCAGTGACGCTCAAAATGGGCACTCATGTGTCGCCTGAGGGTTAAAAAGGAACGGGGAAAATCATGGGCGACGAATGAATGACGTATTCAATACTGAAACGGTCCAACAAAAAAGGGACATAACTGTTGGAGGCGAATTTCAACCTATTACTATTTGCGAGTGTGAAACGAACCGCACCAATGTGACTGCCGTAATAAAATTCCAGCGAATGAATCTGTATTAAATTTTTGACTTAGGAATCACATATTGCTTTATTTCCGTGGGTCTGATGACTGCGAAGACTCCTAAAAGGATGAGATGAGACATTTGAGGGAGTCAGTGCTCTCATTCCCAAAGTGGCATGAAACGTAAGAAAGAAAGAAAAATGGGAAATTTCAGTGGAATATTTCATGGAATTTCACAATGCTGTGAAATATTTCACGGAATTTCAAAATGCTGTGAAATATTTCATATTTTTCAGTGGCTAGAATATACAACCCGCACTCAAACACACGCAAGTAGAAGAAAGTCACAATTTTTACATTTTGCGAAGCACGAAAAGGAACCGGTATTTTTAATACCATTCATAAATTTTTGAAATTTCATGAAATATTTCACGAGAAATTTCAAGATTTTATTCTTCATGAAATGTCGCCACACTGCCCATTCCATGTCCCTCAAAGTTCCGGGATTCTTTTAAACAATTTTCAAAAGTTCAAGGGAATGCAAAAGATCCGGAACATTTCGGAGATTTCAAAAGTTCCTGGAAAAATTCAGGAAAATCTCAGAAGTTCCCAAATTCCGTACTAGTTCCGGGAAATGGAAGCAATTGAGAGAGTCAAAACCAGAGAGACTTGATTTCATCGCAACGTTGCTGTTGAATTTTTTAAATTCTGCAACTTGTCAATATTGCTTGTTAGGGTTCGCCACACAAATTGTCTTTTGACAAGATTTTTAGGTTCTCGGCTACTCATAATGCGAAGAAAAAGCTGTGCTATTATGCTTCTTGTCTATTCTGTCCTTTGCACGGATGAAGACCAAACTGTTTGGTCGAAACGTTTGCGCGTCCACCATGTTAAGGTAAAATTGTAAATATATTAACATCCTCTTGCACATTGTTTCTTTCTTTCTTTTTTTCTTTTTTAAAATTAAAAAACAGCCTGAGTAGCAATTATTGCATATTATATTTGTAAAGTCAGCTTTTTCTTCGTGTTATCTTCTAATTAATACATCCCTGAAAACGAGCCTCTTTTCATGATAAGTGCGCTAAGAATAAATGTCCCACACGTCCATTTCATATTCGTCTTAACCTTCGTCATATTTCTTTGTTTCTTCGGTGAATGTGGGCGGGGGTGGGATTGTACGATCAATGGTTATGGGGTCCGTACACACGCTTCTGTCCCACCTTGTGGGGAATCCCTATCCTTGTGGGGTCATTTTCCGTGGCCCCATAACCAAAATCGTGACAGAAAATGGCATTTATCGGCTAAAAAAAAAGCCCGATAGGTCAGATTAGGTTAGGTTAGGTAAGGTTAGGTTAGGTTAGGTTAGGTTAGGTTAAATTAGGTTAAATTAGGTTAGAAGAAATTAGGCTGTTTCGGCCA